GGGGGGGGGGGGAGAAGATCTCCATCTTATCTCCCCCCCAATCTCTTTGCTTTTTTTATGGCTTTGCGATGTTGGGGACTGATGGAACAGGGTGGGGAAAGCTGTTTCACGCACGCCGAAACTTTGAGGCTGGGTGGGGGGGTGAAGATCTCGATCTTATCTCCCCACCCAATGTCTTTGTTTTTGTTTTTCCACGTTCTCCCATTTTTTTTTTTTTATGGCTTTGCGATATAGGAGACTGATGGAACAGGGTGGGGAAAGCTGCTTCACGCATGGCGAAACCATGAGGTGGGGTGGGGGGGAGAAGATCTCCATCTTATCTCTACCCCAATGTCTTTGTTTTTTTCTTCCACCTTCTCCCATTTTTTTATTTATGGCTTTGCGATGTAGGGGACTGATGGAACAGGGTGGGGAAAGCTGCTTCACGTATGGCGAAACCATGATGTGGGTTGGGAAACGCTGGTTCACTTATGGCGGAACCGTGAAAAGGGGGGGCGGGGTGGAGTGTACGGCGTTCTTGAAACGTGGTACCCCCTCGGCCCTGTATGTGAACAGGGTCGAGGGGGTATTGCGTTTTGAAAACGCTCTAACCCCTCGGCCCTATATGTGAACAGGATGGAGGGGGTACGGCGTTTTCAAAACGCCGTACCCCCTCGGCCCTGTATGTGACCAGGGTCGAGGAGGTACGGCGTTTCGAAAATGCCGTACCACCTCCGGTTCGTGGTGTGGGTGGGAGTGGGTTGGGCGTTTTCAGAACGCCCTATACCATGCGACGCTCGAATGCGTCGGCGACTCACGTGAGGCGATGGTGGAAGGTTTGAAATTTGAGTGCGATCCATTCCTTTGTTTGAATGTGCCTACCATCAGAAGGAGCATCTGCTGTCCGTGAAAAGAGAGTCTACAACACGTGCACAATCTATAGAGATAGGGAGTGGGCCCTTGATTGGGTGGGGGGGCTACACGAGGCGGGATGTGGGGCCGCTGTGTTTCTGAAGAACGTCTCGGGTGACGACTGGTTCTGTGTTGGAGGGATTATTAAATCCGAGGATGAGAGGGTGGACGGGCACGAACGGAAGTTCAGAAGCTTTTACCTCACAACGGTGTTCGACGAACAAGGAGTGGACCATGCGAAGGCCGACCGTAAAGTAAGCCTTGATTACAATCTGTTCAAGGGGTATGGCGGTAAGGCTATTACCATGAAAGCCTTCGATGTGTCCCCGAAAGAAAACGGGAGTGTGTTGACGATGCTTGGCCCTGTTAAATTCCTTGCCAAAACGAACGGCTACAGGAGATCCGGAAACAGTCCCACGGTTGACGCCGGCCATCGTATATCCCCGACATTCGTGCCTTTTGACACGCTGGACGAGGATCTTTCCGGTATAGCAATGATAGAGAGACAGAGGACGCCACATAGTTTTCCAACGCAGCAGACGTCAGCGAGTGGGGGTCGGCGCCGCAACAAACAGAGCCAGCCGCATCGTCCACCAGGCGAGGATGAGCATGGTCCTCCTGTGGGTTCGTCCCGCCGGATGGAGTGTGTTGGACCGTCTCAACCGTCCAGCCG